TGGTCTCTGACCCCAGGCAAACCTCTGTGGGTCCCTGAGCTTCATTTTCCCCGACTGTGAAATGGGAGAATAACTGATGAGGCCAAGAGACAGGTCCCCATAGAGTACGCACTGAGTGTGGCATGTAGAGCTGCTCAACCGTCTCTGGGGAGAATACTGGTATTGGTGGAGGCTCACAGGGTGGGGGAAGGAGTGTGCGAGCCTCAGGGTTCCTCGCTGGCAGGGACGTGGCCCTGGGGGGTGCCCCTGTTCTGTGGGACTCCCGTCCCCCAAAAGGCCTGCTGACTGTGCACAGGGGGCCAGGGCTATCCGCAGATGTCAGGGGGTCTTCTTAAAAGCCAGTGTTCTCAGCCGTTAAGAAGGATAAAGAGACCATAGGAAAACAGACTTTTGCCTAAGCACAGTCAGCATGAATCCAACTGAAAAAATCCCGACACGTGCCCCAAGCCCAGGGTGATGACTGCCCTGCCGCCACCAGCTGCCGCTGTCTCCATCTGCCATGCCATGAGGGTCCTCCTTCAAGCCTCTCTCCCGCTCGAGTCTCTTCTACCTTGAATGGTCTCCATTCACTCTCGCCTGTCCTTCCCCCAGCAAAATAAATGCCCCTTCTATTGCAGGAGCTGCCGGGGAAGTCCCTGGTTGACTTCTAGGGAAGTGTTCTTCAGAGTGTGAGCAGAGGACTCCACCTGCCCTGAATCAGCCCCAGGCTTGCTAAAGTGCAGGTGCCTGCGCGCTCCCTGTGACCTGCTCAGACAGAATCTCCATGGAGGGGCAGGGAATCTGTATTTCTAACAAGTTCCCCAGGTGATTTGGATGCACAGAAAATATAAAAACAAACCAACCAACAGTGATTTGTGTCGAGTCTTCACTGAGGGTCAAAGTCCAGCTAGGGATCGGCCTGGAAAATTCACGAAGTGATCTAACTGAAACAGCCTCCATCCCTGTGTGTCCCCCGCAGGACCAGCCGGGAGACCTGGATTCTCGTCTTGATCTTATACCAATAAGCTGTGCTGCCTTGGACAAGTCACTTCTCCTCTCTGGGCCTCGGTTGTCTCACCTGCAAAGGGAAGGGCCAGCACTTGAGGGTCCCTGGGTCCATCCTGTTCCGACATGCTTGGAAATCCGGTTGGGACAGGCTTCTTTGTGGAGTGGGGAAGGAGAATGGAGGGGTGTAAGGGGCAAGTCCAGATGTCCCATCCCTGCCTTGATGGACAGTCAGCAATTGCCATTGATGTTCCAATGGGGGCCAAGGTCAGTATCTAAATGGTCTGGCCTAGTCAGGGACGGTGAGAAGCAATATCAATGTCCAGGCCATGGCAGAGTGGAACCAGGGGCAGTCTGCCATTGATCCTTGGGAAGAGGAGTGAGCACAGAGAGTGGGTCTGAATGTCAGAGCTCTGGCTTGGTAGACTGGCTCAGAACCAGGTTCTAGGGCCTTAAAGAATATTGGAGAGAAAATGGGAATGCCCAGGCAAGGGCGGGGGGACTGCAATTCAGGGGGTCCCCTGACAGGATATCTCCAGCGCACAGCCCTGGGGAGTGCCATCTGACAGAATACGAGGTGCACGGTGCCCCCCAGAGCTATGCCACCCAGAGGGACATGCAGGGCCTGGGGACCGGGGACACAGTCATCCATCCTGGATCCTGAACTTGGAGCAGAGGACAAGCTCCAGGCCCACTCACTACTTTGGCCAGCTGGGGCCCAGCCAGCAGTGGCAGGGAAGGATGCTTCTCCACCCCTCCTGGTGGGAACAGGAGGCCTGAGCTCAGTGCCCGGATGGCCACAATAGGCTGAGGGTTGGGCGGGGGAGCAGTAACAGGCTCGACAGGAACTTTCCTCAGATCTACAATCTGCTCCTGCTAATTACAGGCGGCCCCACTCACTTCACCCTCTGGGGCCAGACTGCACAGCCCCTCCCCGTTGACTCAGGAGCACTGCCAACAGGAGGGAAGGGCCCACAGAAGGTTCCAGGCCGTTCAAAGGACTGGCCAACTGGGCTCAGGAGACTGGCCTTGTTTTGCTAGAAGAAATGGTTGAGAAAGAGCTTAGGATTCCAAAAGCAAACAAGGTTCAGTACCAGGCAGCATACCAAGTGTTTTCACCAGCAATTACCTTAAACCTGAAACAACCCAGAGGTGATGTACACCATTATCCCCCTGGACACTCAAGGACTCGGGACTCAAGAAGTCACAGGGCTAACGAGAGCCGGGGCTGGGCATCAACCACCTCACAGAGGATGGAATGGTCAGAAACGACCCGACCTGACCTGGGGCAGGACAACGGGGTTCAGCCTGGGCGAAGACTCGGGGCAGTGGGCAGCAGGTTTATAAGAGGCCAAGAGACTTTTCTATCTGATACTTCGAAAGGAACAGCAGCTCTCCACTTTCCCCGACTCACACTTCGGGAGGCTCACCCGATTCCCCAGAGTTCCAGAGAGAAGCTGCTGTGTCTTCTCTGTTCAACCCTTTAGAGACCTCCTAGATTCAGAGAGGGGCCAGGTCCCAACCTCTGTGCTCAGCGAGGTCCGCCCAGCCAAATGTCGAGGGCCCCCTGCATGACAGACAGCTACTCACAAGCTTTCAAATTCTCTTTATTAAAAATCCTTTTTTTTTCCTTTTGTAAAAACAAACACTTGCGGTCAATTATACAGATCAGGAAAAGTGATGACGATTTATAAGACACTCAACAAATTCTAATACTTTACAAGTTCAAACTTAAATTAACTAGTGTTTTTCTTTTTCTCATAAGCTCAAAAAGCAAACTCTGGTCCAGTTCGAGTACAACCTAACAGATCACAGCCTCAGACTGTCCAAGGAAGGGACAGTAATGGCTGTCCTCACACCAACATCAAATCTACCAAATTCTTTGGGAATACTGCCTGTATATACTTTATTTTGGGTGTTTTACGATGAAAAGAAAACTACCTCGGCCTTTTGCTACCTTAACCCTGGGTACAAATGAATCTGTTGCTCAAGGTAGCAGATGCTCTTAAACAAGCTCTTTGGGAAGACACTTTGAAATCGTTGACAAACACTGAAGAAAAGCTTCAAAAAATAAGTCAGTATTTTCCTGGTTGCCTGTAATATTGCATTGTGTATGACACATGTACGAATAAAAAGTGCAAATTATAGAGTGGGTGAAGGACCATGCCAATGGAATTGTATAAAAATAAATATAAATAAATACAAATATATACACAAATGCAGAATCTTAGATGAGTTTTAAAGTGAAGGTTCTGATTGGATGCAGAAAGCCTCTCCTCGATCCCTCCCAGGGGCTCTCACCAGCTGTCCAGTATGGAGAAGCTCAGTCTATCAGCAAGGGAACCATCCCATTACTTGGGAATGAGGCTGTTTGAACAGCCATCCTGATTTCCATGGAAACGGTGCTGTCAGGGCGGGGAGCGGGGAGGAGCTGGCTGGGTCGGCTTTCACTTTGTGGGGAGAAAAGACTGCCAGCCTCTCTGAAAATGCTCAGTTCCAGCCTCCGGTGGTGGTGATAGGCTCTTCCCAGCAAGGTGCCCAGGGAGCTGGCCCTGGACATCCCCGGAGTGGGAAGGATGACAAATAGGGCCAGAGGTTTTCCCAGAAATGGGGGAGGCCGGTCTCCAGGACACCAGGTAAAAACCTGTGGAGGCAGCTTGAGCTGAGCTGCCATCTTCAGAGCCCACTCTCTTTGAGACACCAGCCTTTCCGAGGCCCCCAGATGGCCTCACGCCACGGTCAGGCTTCCTGCTTCCTCCAGCCCCTGACGGCGCGTGCCCAGGCTGGTTGGTTGGCCTCTGGTGCTGGCCTTCTCTGTTCTCTTTCGCAAGAGTTCCCTGCAACTCTCTCCTCACCAGTAACCATGTGCCCGAGGTTTACACAGGATCATTTTATGTCCTACATTTCTTCCTTCTCTGCGCCTCAGATTCACTGATAAAATGTCAGTGTCGAACTCAGATAATTTCTCTATTCTTCTGCCATTAGTGCAGAGGACAGAATGTGCAGTATACAGATCTACCATAAAAAAATCTTATCTACTATAAAAAATGCAAAAAATAATATAATACAAACAATCCCTTCCTAGTCTATCTATCTGCGGTCAGGAATAGAAACACAGGAACCATCTTCCCAGGGATGAGCCAGGGAAGTAGCTCAGCTTGTGGAAACAGCACAAGGCTCCCCTCTGACCTTCTTGAGGTCTTCCTCAGGGCTATGACCAAGCCTCATTTCCCCCCAGCACCTGTGTCCCAAACGCTCCCAATGGAACATCAGACTCTCTAGTCTGGGGGCCTGAAGGAACTCACCTCCAGTATCAGAAAGCCCTACAGGAAGAAGAGTTCTGTTCTTCGTGACATTCAACATCAAAGTGTGCACACAGGGGTCCTCAAATGCCCTTGGCCTCCTGCCCACCTACCAAGTCCTGGCAATCCTCAAATGCTGCTCTTCACTCCTGCAGCCTTGCTCTTCCCTTAGTTTCTCTCTCCACTGAGAGACCATTTTAAAAACCATCCCACTGAGAGGCTGCTGGAGCCCAGAGCGCAGGCACCAAGAACGAGTCGAGGACAGATGCCATTTCCCTGTTTTTATGTCTCTTGAGCCAGTGCCACACGGGGCTGGGAGGCCAACATTCGACCCAAGCCCGTACCAACTATTGTTTTGGCAGAAGGGAGAAGACACTACTGTTTTCATTTTTAATTGAAGTGAATCTATACCAAATTCATTGTCCAGGACAGAACAAAGCTTGGCACCTCCTGAAATCCTGAGGATGGAAATAAGTTTGGGGGGCGGGGAGGACTTAACAGAGCTTCCAAAACAAAGAGCTCTTTTCCTCCTCTGTGAAATTCATTGCTTTTATGTTAAGGCATGAATCTGGTGGACTTCTAGAGGAACTGAGAGGATGAAAGCGTTATTAAAAACGGGGGCTTTTCAAAAAGATGGTCCCGCTGGAGGAACTCCCAGCTTCTGCCAGCTGCTGGTCTAGGCGCCCCCCCCACCCCAGGCCTGCAGGACCCGACACCTCCCCCGGCTCAGGACACCAGGTGCAGAAAATGCTCCAGGCCCCCAAAATGGGTCTTGACCCGGGAGTTTCCGGGAGATCTCTTCCTTGGTTGATCAGGCTGGCCTGACCTGTCCTGTCCCATCAAGAATTTGAACACTGTGAAAATCCCTGAGAAGTTGGGTTTTATGAAAAATAAATGACCCTTGGCACAGAAGGTGAGAGAGAGGGAGGGAGGGGGAAGAAGAGAGAAGCAAATTGAAGGAAACAAGAATCAGGGAGGTGGGGGGAGAGAGGGTGGCCCTCAGCCGCTGGACACATCAGGTGACAGCTTCACTGCGGAGACACTTCGAGGGCATTTTCACGAGTCTCCGGGGACAAGCCGAGGCAACATGGCCGGCCTGGTTTTCCTTCCTCTCTGGCTTTAGCTTCCGTTGCTGAGGTCAGGAAGGCCCCACCTCGGCTCCCGGCTTCCCGCAGCGTCAAGGCTTCTTCCTCTCAAAGTGCGGCATGATTGCACCCTCTTCAGGCCTGGGGCTGCCGGCCCCCTCGGGCTCCTTGAGGCCCTGCTGGGCCAGCTGGGACAAGTACTTCTGCGGTGGGGAGAGAGGGGGGCAAAGGGAAGGGACAGGGTCAGCGGTGACCTGGCGGGAGAGGGGAGGGGAGGGGAGGGGAGGATGTACCTGGGCCCCTTCTCCCATCATGTCTCCCAGTGTGTGGGCCCCCCCCAACCCTCCCTAGTCCTTCTGGGGCTACAGGACCCATGCTAAGCTCCCTCCTCTCTCTGTTTACAAGTACCGCCGGGCTGTCCTAGAAAACACATCCTAACAATGGGACCACTTCCAAAGCCCTTCTCCTGTGCAAGCGCTTTTCTCTTTCCTTACAGAAACTCACTGAATGCTCACAAGGACTCCACTTGTTTTCCAGAAGAGCCTCAGCGCCCCGGGGCATGTGTGCATGTGACAGGCAGGGGGGACCAGAGGCCAGGCGGACTGGGGCCGACCTACGGAGGGGAGAGCAGCACTGCCCTGCGCGGATTGCCAAAGACGGGCTGCCGCCTCTCGTAGCCACCTGTTTCCTGGTGGGCAGAAGGCAGGCTGAGAGCCCGGAGGTCTGTCGCTGGATTCCTGTTCTGTAGCTGGGAGCTGCCTCATACCGCCCCCCGAATACTCGCTGCTATCACCACCGGCCCCCCAGCCACACGGCAGGCCGCCCCTGGGATTCTAGATTCCATGCAGAGACACAACTGGGGCCCCTGCGGGGTCCTCTGAAAGCCCAGGCAGCAGGGGGCAGTGCAAAGAGCACTGGATTAGGAGTCAGTGGGCAAGTGGTCACATGTGTGGGTTCTGCTGCCAGATGACCCGGGTTCAAATCCTAGCTCTCGGCAGGCAAGACACCCAGGATCTCTGACATCTGTGCAGTGTGGCTAACAACAGGAACTATCACTGTAAGGCGGCTGTGAAGTCCGCGGGAGGTACCGTAAGCACTCAGCACAGCGCCTGGCTCAGAATAAGTACCCGGTAATGCTGTCCTTTATCATGAGGGGCATCGGCCTTCTGACCCTGGGAACGTACTCATCTTCTCTCTGCCTCTGATTCCTAATCTGGTAAATGGGAGAAACGGTGCCTTCCTCCTCCCAGGGTGATTTTGAGGGTCAGATGCCCTGCTCTCTCTAGAAGAAACTGGTTGGCTCTGAGAGGTGGGTGAGCCTGATGGGGAGAGCAGCAGACCAACTGTGGGTCCCTGAGGGTCAGGCTGCTGAGGGAGGGCCTAGTTTGTCCTCCGCCTCACCCCAGGAAGGGAAATGTGGGCTCACTCCTCTCTGGACCTGGAGCCAGGGAGGCATCTAGCTTTCCTATCTGACTCCCCCCGTTGTTCTGGGTCACTCGGGATGGGTTCTCTTCGGGTTATGACCAGCAGTGGGGGCCCAGCAGAGGCTGCACAGAGAGAAAGGGGGCTCCTTCCACCTGCTCCCCACCTCAAAGAGCAATCCCTCACCCCCACCTCAAGGCCTGCTGGTGGTGCTAAGTTTACAAGCCACCTGACTTAAGTGTGAGCCAACACCTGCTGCTTGGGTTTGAATTCTTCACTTTTCACACATGTAACGTGGGGTAGTGTGAGGTGCGTGAGGCTGTGTGGACAAGAGACATTCTGTCAAGGCCACTGACAGAAACCTTATCTGAGAAGCCCGCGGTGGAGGCCCCCAGCTCCCCAACAGGTGTGCTGGAGAAACCTGAACTGCAGTTGGCGGGCCTTGAAAGGCTTAGCCCATGTCTGGCCCTGACGTGCCTGGGGACCACGGGAATGGCTCTGGCCTGCTCTGGGGAGGTGAGTCTGCCTGGGGGGTTGGCCCATAGGCCCAGAACACAGTGTAGTCCACTGTCCTGGAAAAAAAAAAATACAGGACTTAGAATCAGAGGCCCTGGCAAGTCTGGACTCATCCTGACTTCTTGAGTGATCTTGAGTTGTGTGGTCTCCTTGAGAACTACACAATCCAGCTGAGAACACCACATGAAATCAAGAGCTCTCACACTGAGGTATCAGAACCTGCTGTTTTTTTAAATGAGGATTTTCAGGCCCAGCCCTGGAGAGAATGAATAGCAGGTGTAGGGTGGGTCCAGGAAGCTGCATGTTTTAAAATTGCCAGCTGGTATGAGAACCACAGTTGGCGAAAATCAGGACCAGATGATCTCCAAGACCCCACCCCGCGCTGCCATTCTATAGGTTTTATCTCGCTGGGGTGGGGGATGATGATGTCTTCAGGGTAGATGGCCACCCTCCGCTGGCTCTGTAGAGCCCAGTCTGGATCCTTGGTCTGGTCAAGTCAGGCCTTCACTGCGCTCCCCCAGGAGAGGCCAGGACTTGGGCCCCAGGCCCCACAGCTTCCTTCATCACAGAGTGGCTGCTCCGCAGAGGGAAATCAGGAGGCTTAAATGACATGAGTCCGGGCATAGCCAATGACAATCCCTTGCAGATGCTGACACAGGCCGTGCCATTATGGGTCTTGGTTTGCAAGATCAGCTTAACAGGCTAAAAAAGGGCAAGTGATTAAGAATCAGGCAGTCTGTTTCCGGGCCTGGTAACTCACCATCTGCATGGCCTTGGACAAATCACATAGCTTCTCTAGGCCTCAGTTTCCTCAACAAAAAACAAGAGTTGGCCCATATCTGAGTCTCTTAACTAGGGATGCACAATGGAATCATATGGAGAACTTTCTCAAATTATGTATTCCTGGATCACCTCCCCCCATTCTACTGACTAGCTCACTTCATATATATATATATATGTATGTATGTATGTATACTTTCAAAACACTGTCCAGGTGACTCTGTTTCACACCTCTGGTTGAAAAATCCTCGATCAGCCACTCTAACAATTTAACAGCAATGTCTGCTCTGGAGTTAGGACATGCTGCCACCACGAGGGTCTGCCCTAGGTGAGGTCTTATGTGCCAAAAAACTAGTCTGGCTCCTTGTAGTAAAAACATAAGGTGCCTTGGAATACTTATCCCTGGGCATCTGATATACCATGCTTTCTATTAAGTTCCCGAAGGTCCCCCCCACCCCACCTGAAGTTGCAACATGCTGCATGTCAGTTAGGTATGTATTACAGAACAGTCTTTCATTGATTCTAAGAGGAGGTTTTCTTCCCCCACACGTTAACATCTCTGAAACTGAGACGCATTTTACAATTGATGGAGTCTCACCATTTACTTTGCAACAATTTTTTTCCTATCGGTATCCAAAAAGTGGTAGTGTGTCTTATAACTGCTCAGACCTCGGATTGCATGAAACACAGTAGTATTTTTTATATGTCCCCTGTTACTATACCATAAAAGTTACTTATTTTATTTATCGCTTATCTCCTACACTCAGATGGAAGCTCCAAGAGGGCAAGGGTTTTTGTCTTTTGCTTGTGTATATGTTTATAATTTTTTAAAGTTTTATTTATCTGAGAAAGAGAGAGAGAGAGAGCAGGAGCAAGGGGAGGGAGCAGAGGGAGAAGCAGACTCCTTGCCAAGCGGGGAGCCTGATGCGGGGTTCGATCCCAGGACCCTGAGATCACGACCTGGGCTGAAGGCAGACACTTAACTGACTGAGCCACCCAGGCACCCCTCTGTGTGTGTGTGTGTGTGTGTGTGTGTGTGTGAGTGGTTTTGTTGTTGTTTTATCTCCAGCACCTAGAACAGTGTCTGGTACATAGCATGCCTCTGATAAATAGTTGCAGTGCAGATGAACATTTGAATAGAACATAATGGTGATTTTTATTGCAGCAAACAGGGATACTGCATGGGGGGAACAGAAACAGAGAAATGCCTGCATCTAGAATATCCAGGTCTTGTGAAAAGGGGTCAGCCTCCAGCATGGACCGGGTGATCCCTAACTCAAGTTACTCAGACCAGGGGGAGAGGCAGATACCCCCAAACCCGCCCCCAACAGAATGCTGTAAGTACTCCAGGGGAGACAGATGTCCTGAGAGCACAGGGAAGGCGCCAGCATGTGGAGCAGCAACCTGGGGGAGACGGGCCTGGGGAAAGAGTGGTTCTCCACATGGTGGAAGGACAACAACCGGGGAGCTCCCTGGTACTGGGCAAGGAAGGCTCCACGTACCTGTAAGTTCCTGTAGTGGACAGCACTGCGACAGTGGCTTGTCTTCGCCATCTCCTCGCTCGTGTAGAACAGCCCACACAGCTTACAGTAAAACCCAGTCCTGGGCACCACGAACTCCACCCCTGCAGGAGGATGGGGGACGAACAGGCAGGAATTAGGAAGGCCACGTGAGGCCCCTGTGGTCCTGCCAGGCGGCAGGTGGAAATGGGAGCACTGAGCTCCATCCCTCACTTGCTGTTGACTCTGGCTGGTTATTGAGCTTCTCCAAGCCTAGTTTCCTCATCTGCAAAGCAAGGCTGAGAACAGGGCTGACTCCATTCCCAGGTGGTTGTGAAGGAAGGGACATACTCCCTCAGGGGTGAGGGAGTGTTTCACAATTCTCTGCTCTGCAGCGGTTCCTGGGAATGGGGCCCGGACCCTCCCATCATCAGCCTGCTTCCAGGGAAACGAGGAGGAAGCGTTCCATTTCTCCACGCTGCACCCCTCTCTCTCTAGCTGTCAGGGCCAGGATTCAGGAAGGATGCTGTCATTTTTGTGAGTTTTAGAATTATACTCATTAAAGAAAACTTTAAAAATACACAAAAGTGAGGAAAAATCACTTTAGAGTCATTCCAATCAAAACATTTTCTCCCATACTATCTCTAGGTAGAGCTTTTTTTGGGTCAGGAGGCAGTTTTCATTGTACCCTAAGTATAGTTCTGTCTCCTCCCTTTTTCATGTAATCGTGTATCATAAACATCTTCCCATCGTCCAGTGTTTACATCTGAACCACCCAGCGATAGCATTTTACTTATGGGATTTGCTAAACAGAAGTCACAGGATTCTGGGAGGCCTTCTGATTTTGCGGAAAGGAAAGGGTGGCCCGATGGCGAGAGAAGTGACAGTGTCACAGCCCAGAGGATGCATCTTTGAAGGCACGGTGGCTGTTCCAGCCTTCGCCAAGGTGTCTGGGGGTCACCGTTCTCCTCTTGAAGCCATGGTCGGCAGAGTGGAAAGAGCCCAGGTCTGAGAGGGCACAGACCAGACTCCAGTAAGAACACGTGGGAAGCTGGGGGGAGTCAGAACTGTTAGCAGAAGAGCAGGGCATCAGGGCCGTGAAAAGCAGGGCCCCTTGGGGAATGGCGGGAATGGGCCGGCGGCTCCTGCTCTCAGGCTGGGGGGCTGGCGTGTGCGCGCCCGCACTTGGCTGGTCTGCTGCCCACCTGCTTAGCACCCGTGGCCCTGTGGGGGGCCAGGGGGGCCGCAGCGGGTGGAGGGGGGCCCAGGGCAGGGGGGCCCGCCCTCCAGGGGGACTGCGGCCACTTCTGGCAGAGAGGGAGACCGCCCAGGGCTCCATCAAGGCGCTGCGTGGGACCACAAGCCTGGGCTTCCTTCACTTCCCTCCTGCCGCGTCCTATGGGATGGAGACCCTGCCACGGAGTGGGTGCTTAGACTTGTAATTACAACTTTTTTTTCATTTCAAAAGAGCCACTTATCAGTGTGCAGCGGCCAGCCTGGATGGAGGCGGGAGCCCGGGAGGGCTGCCCAAGGCCTGCTTTGACTGATTGCTCCTCTGTGGTTTGGGCCTGGTTTTGGCAGCCTCCTCAGCCAGTTTTCTCTAACTGCCACGCAGCTCGCTGCCCTGCCCGCAGCAGCCCCCAGCAGGGACGGGGCCTCTCTTGGGCCCGTTGCCCAGAAAGAGGCTGTGCCCTTGCCCTCCTCACCTTCCTCCCACCCCCACGGCAAAGGACTGAAAAGTGGTCCCTGCTCTGCCTGTGGGTGGCCGGCTGGCCCCTCCACCTCACTCACAGGCCCACGGCAGAGGAACCGTAAGCAAGGCCTGCCTTGGTCCTCTGTTCCCACAGAACAGTTCTCCCCAGCCTGCTCTGTACGGAGATGTCCACACAAGACAAGATAAAGGCCACTGGGAGAGGAGACGCACCACCCGGAGGCCACAGGGAGCAGACCCAAGCCTGCGATCCCAGCTGCTCCCTCTATCCTGCCCCAGACCCTGCAGGAGGGGCCTGTGGGTGGTCCCAGCAAAGAAACCTTGGGGTTTCATGGCAGGGCCCTGGTAAGGCCTCCAGTGTCCTCCAGGTTTTCCAAGAGGCCTTCCAGCCCATGTCCTGGGTCCCCAAGAAGGGGCGCCAGTGCCTCAGAAGCCACCACAGAGCATGAAGCAGGGCCTGAGCTGTGGGCCCTTTCGACCCAAGCAGCAGAGCGACCATGTGAGGGGTTCTGGGTGAGATTTCACTGGAACAAAGGTGTCCACTGCCAAAACAAAAAAAAAAGGCTTGGAAGCCACAGTATAGTGGAGAGAAAATGGAATTTAGAGTCCGAAAGATCTAGCTCTTACATACACTGTGTGGCTGTGGGTACATTATTTAAACTCTCTGAGATTAGCCCCCTCATCTATAAAATAGAAATAATACTCCCACAAACGGTGTTATCATTTTGCCTGGTGCTCAAAAAATATTCATTTCCTGCCACGTGTTAAACATTTCTCCACAGAGGCCTTCTTGCCCTCTAACCCGGGGCCGCCTGGAGAGCTCGGGCTCCAAAGGTGGGCAGCAACTCTTCCCTGTCCGTGTCTGATGCCCAGCGGCCGTCAGGCAGTACCAGGTGCTTAAAAGCACTGAGGAAGGAGAAGTCTGAGGAGGATCCCCAAACGCCTGGCAAACCCCCCCTCCCCCGCCCAGTCACTGGGACTTGCCATGGGCACCACATGCCAACACCACCTCAGGATGCCTCTGGAATGGGAGGGCCAGAAGTGAAGAAAACTGTCACTGCCCCAACCCGTCTGGAGCCACTGGGTCCTCCCATTTTTCAGCCTCTATTAAGCATGACAATTAAAGCTGTATTTGCTTTCTAATAATAGCTCCTGGGCCGGGTAATTATAACTCCACCATCCTAGCAAATCCTGTGATGGGTGGAGGGGGAGCTTGCGTTTTGCAGGCAATGCCCTTTGGTTCTGGAAGCGCAGACCTTGGCAGGCTCAGGCTGGCCGGGGTCACTCAGAGCTGGCCTCAAACCCATGGGGCCGTGTGCCCTCTCTCTACTCCCCCGACCCCATGTCCACCCCATTCCCCCAAGCACTGGGATCTCACCTCCCTTTACTCTGGGTCCTTGGCACTCCCTCTTTGGCTCCCTGCTCTCCACAGGGACAAAGCCTGAAGGCTGTTCCCTCCCTCCCTAGAAGTCTCTGCAGGAGTGCTGGATTCCGGAGCATAAGGGGCATGCAGCCCCAGTGAGAGGAAAAAGTAGGGCTCAATAATTACTTCATGAATGAGTAGTAGCAACAGAGAATCCTCCTAGAAGACACTAAGACGTGACACATATTCATTCATTTCCTCCTCAAACTAACTATACATGGTAGGCTTCTATTACTACCCTTAGTTATTGATGAAGAAAGTCAATAAATCAATGAGGAGAGCTGAAAAGGGTCGCTCTTTGTCCGCTAGCCAGCTGAGATATAAACCTGGGGAATCAGATTCCACAGTCTGTGCTCTTAGCCACTGCGCAAAAATTGCCTTTCCTACATTGTGCTTCCTGAACCAGAGAGACAGGAGGGCAGAGTGGTCTCAGATTGGAAACCCGGAGCTCTGACCTGACCTCCTTGCTGTGTGACCTTGGGTAAGTATCTGCACTTGTTTCCTCTCTTGTCAAATGTGGAGAATGGTGCCATACCCCCACCCCCTAAGATCAATAAGATAATGGGTCTCAAAGCTCATCGAAGACTACATGCAATACAAAAGCACAATCTGTTACAGCCCCAAACAGGAAACAACCCAAATGCCCATCAAGGGCTCAAAATAATTACGCTGAGTGAAAGAAGTCAGGCAAAAACACTATAGTCCAGATGATTCCCTTTGGATTCAAACTCATATTTAGTGACAGAAAGCAGATCAGTGGTTCCCTGGGGACTGAGGTGTGGGGAGGGAGGAATGACAAAGGAGCATCAGGAAACTTGGGAGGTGACAAATACGTTCACTATGTTACTGTGGTAATTAGTCTCCCAGGTGTACACATATGTCCAAACTGATCAACCATACACTTTAGACACGTGCACTTCTTTAACATCAATTATACTTCATTAGAACTGTTTTTAAAAAGCAGAACGAGATACCATTTTCCTAACAGTTTGGTAAAGATTCAAAACTGATGACGTCCAAATTTGGTAAGGAAGCAGAGAATGAGAATTCTCACTCTGGCAGGGAAAACTGGTATAAACTTTTTGGAGTGCAGTTTGGCAGCAATTATGAAAATATGAACTGCAAATATACATCACACCACAACCCCCACCCCCCGCTCCCAGTCTAGGATGCTGTCCTGCAGAAACCCTGGCAGGCACACAAAGGTGACAGCATGTTTGGAAGGCAGCAGAGCATAGAGGAAGCATGGTCCTATGAGTCAAACTACTGGGATTTGAATCCTGACTCCAGTCTTTGCGAATCATCAGCTTTGTAACCCTGCATCTCAGATTTCGAACTTATAAAATAAGGATAAAAATATTATCTACCTCATAGGTGTTTTGAGAGAGTTAAATAATGAGGTAAGCACTAGAAATGGTGCTTGCATGGTAAATGAGAAACATAAAAGCTTAACTATTACAGCATTTTAATAATGGGGAAAAACTGAAAACATGCTAAATGTTCACCAGTAGAGAAATGGATAAGTAATTTACGGTACATCTTCTAGGGTGCAAAATCTGCAATCGTTAAGAAGAATGCATTGTCTGTATACTGACTTGAAGAGGTCTCTGAGTCCCACTGTTAAGTTAAAAAAGCAAATTGTAGAACATTCTGTGTATGGTGTGACCTAGTCTCCGTGGGTATGACCGTGACTACCTCTGGAGCAGGGGGAGAAACTGGAGTGAAGAGATACAACATTTAACATTGACTTTACATGGCTCTTATTTTTTACACTTGTCATAATAATCTATCACACTTTTTGGAATGAAAAACAATTTTTAAAGACATAAATCACAAGGTGGCAGAACTTATTCTTAATTTTACTTGTGTGGGTCGCACAGATTCCAAGTTGTTGGATGCCAAGAGACTTGTGTTACATTTCTCAACCGCCCCAGAGTGCCTTGCAGGGTGCCATGTTGTCTAGAAAGTGCTGCTCAGTAAAAATGGGTACCCTATGAAAATGGAACATTTGGAGGGCAGAAACAGTAATAAATGTTTAAAAGGAGATGAAAAGAAAGAGAAACCCGATGGAAAGGGTGAGCCTCCATATTGACCAGCCCCTCCCTGAGTAAGCAGACGTGTGGTCATCGGTCCTCACATAACCCGTTCTTCTCGTGCTTCCTTGGGACGCTTTCCCAAAGGACGCCTTCCTAAGCTCTCTCTCCAGTGGCTGTTACTACTCCTTTGTCTCATTGCTTTCCAACCTCTCAGAGTCAATGCAAAGACTCAAAGACAACGTGGAGTGGGAGTCACCGGGTTAGCAGTGGTTATCAGAAGCTCCCAGGGCACTTTATTGAAGTAACTTCACTCCTTACCCTGAGGTTCTAGTTAACTCTCCCCTTTGAAAATGTGTCCTAGGTGATTCTATTATTAACCTCCCTTCCTGCACCTGCCCCCACCACTTCCACTACTGAAAATTCCACTATATAATTGATCTGATTCATTTCCATATTACCAGTGAAAAAAACTAAGGCTCAGGAACCCCAGTGAGGCCTCTGCATTTGCACAGTCCCTGCCCAAAGCCTGAGCCACCTCCTTCTCAGTGCCTCCCACCAGCTGCGTCCCTGGACCCCCAATTTCCATTCTGCCTCTGGCTGGGTTGCCTTCTCTGGCCAGGTGGGTTCTGATAGTACCTTCCATTCCCAGGGCCTCCGAGAAAAGTATTTTTACATCTCTCTGTCTCCCTTTTTATTGACTTGTTAATAAAGGACTTATAGGGACTGGAAAAAATAAAAACCAAAATACATTCCTGGGTATGACTTGTCTGAGGTCATGCAGTCATCCAATAAGTGAAACAGGAAGGAAAGGGGCCCAGGTCTCTCTCTGTTCAATGCTCCCTCTACCAAATATAGAGTGTCTCCCCAAATGCAGTGTCTTCAGCATCATTGCCTCAGAGAAGCTGGTCCTTCAAAGAGGAAAAAAAAATGTAGCACTGTCTTGGAAAGGGCTGGGGCAAGGAGGGTAGGGAAGCCAGGAGCAGAAGAGGTTCATTTCTGTTGACTTTGGGCGGCCACTGGGGCCTCTGATCTCTGCCTGAATAAAGGCCGTGTGGTCAGGAATAAAGCATTCCTGAACAGGGAAAGCGAGTTTCTCTTTGCTCTGGCTCTCAGGGCAGTACTGTTCAGGGCCTGACGTCATGAGGTATCTGTTCTACTATCGGGAGACTGAAATTGCAAGAAACCCTAAAGATACGCACCATACCTATCCCGGTTATTACATCCGACATTAAGCACAACAACAAAATGACAAAAAAGCCCTTGGGACCTCTTAGATGTTACCATGGCGCTATCATTTCCTGGAGCTGAATGCTCAGGAAGGACTGTGTACTTCACCTACCTAGAGGGATGCTAAGTTCACTGAACACATCCTCTGGTTCCCAGGAAGGCAAAGAGAGGGGCTGTTTCAGCTCCACCTCGGTGTATTCCAGTGACCTCACGTCCAGAGATTTCATTTCCACGTACTTGGGGTTGTCTGCAAAACATGGGCCAAGGTAGAGAACTAAGGAAGCACAATGTACTTCAAAGACCCTCTGCCATCTATTCTTGCACTTTGTGCTCAGGCATGGTCCCTCACGCTGCTTAATAACATGCAGTGAGGGCGAGGACTGCTAATTAGAGCAAAACGCTGTAATTGAGAGTTTGTTCCCCTGCCAAAAGAATGCCCCCCACACACGAACCCTCGGCAACTCCGCGCCTTGGGTCCGTGGGGGATGGGCTGCTGCCTCCTTCGGTTGGGATGATCCCCACCTTGCCCCCCCAACTCAGAAATCACTCCGTCTCCGCAGGCAGGAGGATGACCGGCGGCCAAACACTGTGCTGACGTGTCTAGGCACACAGGTTGGCGCAAAAGGCAATGCTACGTTCACCCCAAGCTTGTTGAGCGGTGTTATTAAATATGAGCTCCAAACACTGAGTAAGCTAGTCGGCCATAAACACCAGTGCGTGTTGAGACCTATACGGCAAAATAAAGGGGTTCAATCGGGGCACGGTGAACGTTTCGCTCCTTCTCTAGTCCTGCCTTCTGGAGACCCAGCCCAGGCCTCCCCGTTGCTCTGGCAACAAGGCAGGTGCTCAGGGCAGTTTCCATGGAGACTCGCAGGTGAAAAACAGCTCCGGTCAGCCCGCCATGCAGGAGAGCCCCAGCCTCCAGCAGCCCGACAGGCTCGTGCCAGCCACAGGGCGCTGGGCAGAAGGTTTCTTTTCAAGCCTTTACTCCACGGTTTCTGTCCCCGACTCTGGTCCCCCTCCCCGCCACCTTCAACGTGCTGCAGGCCCTCTGGGGAAGGAAGCGCTAGTTATTTTCCCGCGGAGAAGGCTGAGGGCTCCTCCTCCCCGCACCGCAGCCCTTGCCGGATCTTTGTTCCCACTTGGCAGAGAAGACAGGGCTTAGCCTATTTTAAACTCTGTCTCTCATGATGGCATAGTGCCGGGCACCCACACAGCATCACCTGCAGCGGAGACGGAGGACAGCCTGGGACAGGCCTCGCCTCCCCATCAGGCCATGGGGACTGAGGGGGTCTGTGCCGGGAGCCAGGGGAACGGGCCGTACCCCCGGGAGCCCCCCCGCCCCCCCGTCCCACCCGCTGCCCGCTCGGTGCTCCTTTCTCGCCTCCTGCTCTCCTGACCCCTCTCCCGGGCTTCACAGGGGTAACAGCCCGGGCGGTCCGCCCTTGGGCAGGCTTGAGAGGCCGTCTCCTGATCCAAGGAACCAGGGCCCCTTGGCCTGATAATTCAAAGCTTTCGCTGATTTTAGTTGTCAGAGTCCATCTGGGCTCCCGTAAATTCAGAGAAGTCTATCCTGTCTGAGTTTGCTTCTCAGAAAACATGTGGCCTCCTATCTGATTTCCTTTATACCATTTGCCGAGAAGCGCTAACCGTTTAACCAAGCCTTTGGGAGCTGGCTTTCTGCACCAGCTTGAATGCTGGTTGAAACCCTGCTCGTGTTCGTTCCAGCCTGCACGTGCCCGCACACCTCCCTAGGTGAGCAGTGGCCCCATCAACCCAACCGCACGGGAGAAAAGGGAGGTAGTTACCCTGGGTCGACACTCCTTGGCAAGCCTGGCTTTGGAGGTTGGTGTCGGTGCGAGGACTGGCTTTCCCCTCCAGGGGGCTGCCTTCACAAGCCCCGTCTTCGGGGGTCCCCCTGGCCTTGCAGTCATCGAGAGGTGGGCTAGGCTGCCGGGCCCCCTCCTCTGCTGGCTCCGGGGAAGACATTTGCTGGAGTGGAGGGGCCAGACGCACATCGGAGTGCTCCCCTCCCTCTGCCTGCTCCTCGTAGCAACCTGAACCCTCCAGTGAGAGGCCTGTCTTACGTTCAGCTGGCTTCCGCTCAGCGTCCAGATTTAGGCCAGGCATTTCTACGTCCATGTCACTGCGACAGCTCGTGGGGGTAGAAGGCAGGTCTTTGGGTGTCTTGAGGCTGATTTCCATGGCCCCGTTCCCCACGGGCTTCACTCCCTCATTGGTGAAGTCCTTGGCTATGTCCAGGTCTAAGGTGGTCATCACACAGGGACATATTTCTGGGCAGATTTTATCCTTCTGGTCAATGGGCACAATTTCTTCCAGTTCGGGGATGTCTGGTTCCATAATAAAATCTTCCTCCTCGCCAACCTCGTCCACCGTAACAAGCTCCTCCATGTTGGTGGGGTACCAGCTCTCCCCTTCGGCCTCACTTCCACTCTCCCACTCTTGCTCCTGAACAGACATGCAGAAGAAAGGTCAGAGAGTGGTGGAGGAGCAGGTCTTGGTATTCAACCAGAGGGCACAAACCTTGACCACTGGGCCCCTCTAATCAGAAAGATCCTGAGCACTCAGACTTCTGCCTGGGAACGCTTACTGGGTAATCAGGAGCTGCAAACCACCCAAGTCCCACATCGCTGATACATCCCTAGGATGAGGCTCAAAAACAGCATTTAGAATCAGCCCTTAATGATGAATCTACCACGTTTAAAATGGCACAAAGAATTTCAAACCCTGGTGTATAATAGGTGCTCAATAAAGTTTTCAAATGAATGAATGATAAAGTCATAAACTCTAAATAAATCAACTGGCTGGAGCTATTGCCTTGCATGAAGGCCATAAATGGAACTGTAGCAAAGTCCCCCTGAAAGGTCCCCCAAGCTCCTTTCCCACAAGGGTGCAACTTTCATAGCCATGGCTCACACTTGGCCCCTCCTGAAACTCTGTCATGTCCCCAGGAGCCAGATTTCGGAGATCAGCCCCCTCGCTAGCGATACTCATCTCTCCACCTCTCCTGACCAGAAAGGCACAAAGCTGGCTGCGTTCCAAACACGTTTCTTTTTGCTGAGGCAGCCACAGCACTATAACTGGATTTTTTTATTTTAATTAAGTAAAATAATCTTTACAAGCGCAGTAGATGTTTTGTTAATCCCAGGGTCTGGGCGTGCTGAGGTCAGGGCCCTAGCTTGAGCATCCGAAGCTCCCCTCTTCCCCCAGCCCCTCCCAAGGGAACTATTCTGGGAGCCTGGCTCTGAAGCCTGAGTCTTTTTTGGGCACATGTTTTCTCTGACGAGTGCAGCCAAGGTGCTGGAGACTGAGGCAGAGCCCAGGCATGTAGTAAAGATCTCCTTAATAAAGACTGCAGAGATCCCAGGCAAAACCATTCTTCCAAGAAGTGCTGGCTTCATTCGTGGCAGCCCAGGTGGGGTCTTGGACACAGCCCATGCAACGAGTGGGGCATCCCAGGGCAGGATGGGGATGCCTGAGACGCGGTGCCCATGGGCCGTCATGCAGATGTGGCGGTCCTGCCAGCACCTGGGACCAAATTTACCTTCTTTGTCCTTGTGTCTTCTGCATCCGGGCACTCTGTTCCTTTCTCCTGCCTGGCCGCTGATGAGGTGCTTTCTTCCATGCCTTCCTGCTCTTGTTTTCCAGCCTTACCAAAAAAGAACAGAACAAACCAAATCAACGGTGAGCAGGGGCAGAGGAGAGAGGGAGTGCCAAGAGAGAAAACAATATAGCTAACGGTCATCAGGTGTGTCTCACAGGCACATTTCCTTAAGCCTCACCAAACCCCTCGGAGGCAGATGCCTTGCCTGTTATAGATGAGGAAATGAAGGATCAGAGAGGTTAAGTAACTTGCTCAAGTCACACAGACAAGTGGAGGCACGGAAATGTCTCAGTGGTTGGACTGATATCTTTAGTGGGGCAGAAATCTCTGGCGAACTGGGTGTTTTTGCAGTTGTGAAACCTACAGGCAGGGAGGGTGAGTAAAGGGACCAAGGGCAAAGGGGTCCGGGGGTTGACAACCATCGTGGTGACATCTCCCCAAAAAGATCTGTTTTGGCCATAAAAATCACATCCAGGCCACTTATGGGTAGGAAGTGGGTTGCTAGTCAACCAGTGCCCCCCTAGCCCCTTTTTTGTCCTCTCTCTGACCTAGAGCTACAGCCCAAATTAGCAACCCCCTCCCTTCTTCCTTCCTTCTATTCCCTCCCGCAAATTCAGTCCCTCATGAGAGTTCGTGCTCATGTCTGAGAAATTGAACGACTGAAAGCCGGTGTGTTTGGTTTGGGAAATTAGGGTCTCTGACCAGCCTGAGAACTGGGGTCAGCAATCTATCATCCTCAAGCCAATCTGAACCAGTGCCTCTTTTTATATAATCTGTGAATTAACAAGGCTTTTCAAACTTTAAATAGTTGCATTTTAAATGACTACATAAGTACCCACATAAGATCTTCACTTTGGCTTCTTGGCCCACATAGCCTAAAATATTTACTGTCTGGTGCTTTGTAGGAAAAGTTTGCCAACCCCCATTTTAGAAGTTTTGGGGGGATATTCTCCCATGACTTCAACTTTGGCCACCAAATCAATGACTCTTTCTGGAGTTTCTCAAGGGCACATTGCATTTTCTCAACAATTTTGGCTGAGGTTGGCTCTAAGTAAATGACTCTAGTTCTGATTTCTTATGAGCAGTCACACCCCTCTTGAGTTGACAAGGAGCCAGCTGGGGCAGGAGCTCAGGGCTGACTGGTTTAACCAGTTACTACCAGACAGGGGAAGAGAGTTGAAATCCTTATGTCCTTGCTCTTTCTGGCATTTGGAGCAGAAGATTCCACTGTAAGCTCTGCTCTAGTCTTCTAAGCTAACCCAAGTGCAAAGCAGCTCCAAATGCCTTTTTAGCCATCAGAATCCATAGCGTCTACCAACAGGAGACCTCTTTCTTTATTTTTTCTCCCTGAATAAACTATCTATGGCCCTCCCTTTACCCTCCCCAAGCAATTCCTACAGCCACACTCCTAGGTCAACACAATAGAGGACTGCCCTCCCGCCCCCACCAAGTCCAAACTGGGAGAGGCGGGGACAGCCTGGCTGGCGGGAAGCATCTTGCCAGTAGGATCCCGGTGCTTCCTCCCTGCAGACAAAGGAAACGGAGCAGTGCCTTCAGTCCACCCTGTGCCCTGGGATCATGTGAGAGTAGCAGCTTAAGGGAAACCAACAAATGCAACCAATGCACCCAGGTGTCCACACCAGCTCACAGATGAAGACATTAGGTCTTAACTGTTACAAGCAGAGCTCTGCCTCCACAGGGCTAGGGCTATTGATAAACCACCTCCTAACTGTTCTCCCCCTTCTGCTCTGTGGCCTCCTCCCAAGTCTATTCTCCCCAAGGCAATCAAGAATGATCACTCCAAAATGCAAACACTATCATAACCTCACTGCACCTTCTTGCTTAAATATTTCATTTGCTTCCCCTTGCACTTGGGATGAAGACAAAAATCTGTAACCTGCCTACAAGGCCTTGCATGATATGACCCCGTCAACAAACCAGACATACCTCCCACCATTCTAACCCTGGCTGTCTCTGTTCCAGCAACACTGGACTCCAGCCACAGGGCCTTTGCACATGTTGTTCTATCTGTTCTCCTTCCTTTTCACTCAGTGAAACCTACCATTCCTTCAAATCGCAACAGTCCCATCCTAAGCCAGGGAAGCCTCTTGATTCATCACAGGCATTAACAGCACTGTATACCTCCATTGCCTTCTTAGCACTCAACATGCATGCTCTTCTACTCATGTGAGCAATTGATTAGTATGTCTTTCCACTAAACCATGAGCTTCAGGAGATCAGGGGTCATTTCAGCCTTCACTCAGAACTGTAGTCCTAGTGCTAGGTGCTCTGTGGACATCAGTCAATAGAAGAATGGAGACCTGAAGGCTTGAAGGGGGGGGTGTAGTGTTAACTAGCTCACACCTGCCTCTGGCATGCTTGGGTCTCTGTCTAGGCTCCGAACTAAGCATAAATAGGTTTTCTATTTCTCCCTCCTATGGACTGTTTATACTGGGGGCTGCATCCTAGGGACCCCTGGGCTCCATCTGGCCCACAGACATGTTTCGGCCTATACAGTTTCTAAAATGTGGGAAATTTCAGATATCTGGACTTTGGTGCTGCTCCTCAAAAAGTGGGGGTTCTAACAGCACAGGGCATGCAGTCCTGAATGGCAGCCATAAAATGGAGCTGAGCAGTGGCTAACTGCCCCCAACAGACAGGTACCTCCTCCGTGGTCTGCCATGACCCCTTCTCCCCACGTTGGCTTCACTCCTATTATCTCTTCTATATCCCCTGCCTGGCTTCCCTTCTCCAGGCACCTGGCTCTGTAACCCTTGATCGCCCTTCTTTCCCATGTTCACCATACTCAGCGACTTGATTTCTCTCCTTCTTTCTGTGGTCTTGCGGTCAAGGCTGGGCCCCATGTGTGGACCCGGCCACCCACCAACACTGAGCAGCACACACACTGGCCTCTCCAGCACAGGCATTTTCTCTAGAGATCTTAGAAATTTCAAATGAGCACAAGCTCATTAAAGTCCTATGACAGCCTTGTGATCACACTCATTTCACAAATGAGAAAACCGATGCAGAGCAGAAGAGGGTGTGACCTGGTTCTCAGAAGCCTGGCCTGTCTTCAGGGTCCGGGTTCAGTCATTCCTTTCTTCCTCCAACAAATACTTACTGAACACCCGCTCTGTGTCAAGCCCTGATCTAGTGAGCACTGCAGACAAAAATTCCTGCCCTTGTGGAGGTTACCTCTCGGGGGGGGGGGGGGGGGGGAGTGGAAGAGACAGACACTAAATACAGACAGACATCAAGGGATAGTTTGGACCAGGAAAGGTGAGCAGAGAAGGGAAGCAGGTTGCGACACTGTGGTTTTATGTAGAGGTGTTTCTGGCCAGGAATATACTTGAGGTGAGCGTGACAAGTAAACACAAAGGAGGGGAGGAGGGAGCCAGGTAGACTTCAGCGGGACGGGGCGCCTAGGCAGGTGAACACATGTAAAGGCCCTGTGGTGGGAGGTGCCCAGTATATTAGGAGAAAGGCAAGGACACCATCCTCAGCCCTGCGCCCTTCCAGCTCCAAGTTCAGTCACTGAACTCATCTGACTCCTGGGGCAGGCCTGGGGGGTTGGGGTTGTTCTCAAGATTGTGATATACAGTTTGAGATCCGTGAGGAAGACTTTGTTCTGCTGATATTCCACCAACTGGTTTTGGGCTTCCTGGCTCCAAAACCACAGAAACAATCCATTGGGGACCCCAACAAGTCCCTACTGACCCCACTCTAGGGCTATTAGAGGCAGAACCAGCCAGAGAGACAGAATTTGGGGAAGCACATGGGGCTCTCTGGGCATCTTTTTTTGCATCAGGGCTCTGGGGAGGACCCATAGTATGTGTCACCTTAAAAGGGCAAACCGATAAAAGAAAGTGGGTAAAACAGTAGGAGCAGTAAGCTTACTGAAGAGGAATAGCAGAAGTATGGGTAGGATTGGGAGGGGGCAGCTCCACCCCTTTGCCATGGGGACACACGGTTTGAGGCTGGTGGCATGTGTATGAGGTCCAGGCTGGAGCCCCTGCCCAAGGGGTTGTTGCTCTCTGCCCCTCTGAGCCTCTTCTTTTTTTTTTTTTTTTTTTACATACCACTTACATGTGTTTTATTAGGGAGATCAAACTCATCACAATGACTATTTCTTAGATGATGATGGTAGTATACATTTTTACTAAATGGTTAAAAAGAAATAATTATCCAAATGATTTCTAGATCCCGTGTGTCATTTTTTTCATACTTTCACTATTGTTTTTCCCAAATTATCTCCTTTCAGCATTCCCATGAATGTAGCTGGCATGTTTTCAAATCCTTCGATGATGTATTCATGGTACTGGATTTTACCCTCTATGACCCATTTCAGCAAGTCTTTCAGAGCCTTCTGGCGGACCTCTCCTTGCCAGCGGGTGACGATGAACCCTTCCAGGCGGAGCTGCTGATAGATAATATTCTCTGGGGGTGGGCCTGGGGGAGGAGGGCAAGTACTATTATATGTAGAGATGGCCCCACATACAGCAATTCTTCCAAATTTCTTCATCTGGGGGATAACAATGTTTGAAAACTCTCCACCTACATTATCGAAGTAACAATCATAACCATCAGGAGAGGCTTTTTTCCAAGTTTCTTCCAAAGACTCTACTGTTTTGTAGTTAAAAGCAACATCATATCCAAGCTTTTTGAGGTAGGCAAGCTTTTCGTCAGACCCTGCTGCTCCAACAACTTTGCAGCCCTTGAGCTTAGCTATCTGCCCCACCACAGAGCCCACTGCTCCTGCTGCTGCATTAACCATCACTGTTTCTCCACCCTTCACACCACAGATGTCAAGTAGGCCAAAGTAGGCTGTTAGCCCTGTCATGCCCACAGAGCCAAAGACACCGGTAACGTGTCTGGCCATTCTGCGGGTAGCTTTTCCAGATCTTTCCCATCAGAAATAGAGTGCGTCGTCCAGCCTGAAAAAGCCACTACCACAGTTCCTGCTGGGAAGGCTGAGTTTTTACTTTCCACAACTCTGGCCACTTGCTGCCCCATCATCATATCACCCTCCTTCAGTCTTTTGGCCGCCACTCTCATATAAGGATCCACGGTAAGGAACAAAGCTTCCAGCAGGACCTCTCCATTTTTTAAGGATGGGAGTTCAACTGTCTTTAACTCAAAGTTACTATGAGTAGGGCTGCCTTCAAAGTGCTTCTTCAGGGTCCAGCTCTTAGCATGAACCATCCTGAAGTTTCCCAGCCCGCAGGTTCGACTACCTAGACAGAATGGTTGCCCCTCTGAGCCTCTTCTTGAGAGGATGGGCACTGACCCATCATTAGGCCCTTAGATCCCTCCAAGCATAGACACGCTTCTTAAAAACATCTCTGGCTCACAGGTCCTTGGGACCCAGTTCAAGTCCTCAGTGAGGCACACGAGGGTCTTCCTGGGCCTACCCAGGTCCCTAATCTCATCTCTTGAGCTCCCCCTGCTATTCCAGTCAGGAGAAACTGTGGCAGACTTTGAGAATGAGCAAAAAGACAACAGGGTGTTCTTTCCATGGAATGCTGGGCAGTTCGTTGTCCAGCACACCCCTCCAGGAGGTCTGGTCCCACAGGAGTCTGCACTTTTTGTTATCATGAGCTGAACTATTTTACAACCCCGTAAACTGCAGAAGACGAAGAGTAGTGCAAGTGATTCTCGTTCATAGAGATGCAAAGGAATTTTATCTGGTGGAGATGCCACTGGAAGAGGCCAGTTTTTGATCTATTAGCAAATTCACTTCCGCGTACCTGATCGCCTCTCCCCGTTGCCTGCTCTCTGGATTCTCCTCTAGACCAGCGTTTACATCTTCCTGGCTCCCTCATTAATTCGTGAGTTAAATAACATCTTTGATATGTATTCATTTTCTGTTTGCACGAGAGCCATGATTTTACTTTTTAAAGACGTTATTCTTTAATATGGCCTAAAGATGCTGCCACGCTGAGTATTTGCAGGTTCTTTTTTTTTTTTTAAGATTTTATTCATTTATTTGACAGAGAGAGACACAGCGAGAGAGGGAACACAAGCAGGGGGAGTGGGAGAGGGAGAAGCAGGCTTCCTGCTGAGCAGAGAGCCCGATGTGGGGCTCGATCCCAGGACCCTGGGATCATGACTGGAGCCGAAGGCAGACGCTTAACGACTGAGCCACCCAGGCGCCCCATTTGCAGGTTCTTGAAAACAGTCTTCCCTTCTCACTTTTGCCCTCGCTGCTTCCCAGATGGCTTTTTCCCCCCACTTTCAATGCCCAGCTCACATGTCACCTCCTCTGTGAAGCTCCCCCCTCTCCTTGCACAGAGGGAAGGCCCCCGGAGCAGCTCATCCACTACTCTGCTCCAGCATGGGCCCCACTGAATGTCAATCATTTTGTAGCTCTCCTTCCACCATTAGACCTGGGTCTCCACCACAGCATGGACCTTGTCCCATTCACCTCTGGACTACCCCCCTCCGCCCCGCGCTGTGCCTGACACACTGCCTGGCCAAATAGCAAAGTGCATATGGGAGTAAATGCAGTAGTGGACAAAAGGGTGACTCTTCAGTGTCCGTGGAGTTGAGAATTGGGCTCTTCTTTCGACTTAGTCCCTGTCACCAAGTCCTGGGTCAGACTAGGACATATGCATGTAGGATTTTTAAAATTGGGTTCTTTATGCAGACCCGCCCCGCTCCCCAACCTCCACTATCCCGCTCCTACTTAAATGGAGGTGGTTTGGGCAAGAAGGAAGTATAAGCCCAGTGAGAGTGTGAATTTTGTACCCAGAGTCCTCACGACCCACCATGTGAACTGAAGTTATGCAGTACATTATAAGCCCTTTCTGACACGTGGATGAAAGGTACCAGCCAACTGCCGAGCACTTTTATTACAGTGGAAGTAAAGCTCTGGACAGTGTCCAGAGCACCACACCAAGCCCTGGACACCCAGGGCATGTTAGAGGGTGGCGGCTGCTTCTCTTTACCACCTCTCCTCAAACTCCAGGGTCGGCAGATGCTTTTGGCACGAGAAAGGATGGATCAGACCAAAGATCTCATCTCCCTGGGCAGAGTCTGTGGGTGCAAACTCCGTGGGGCCCCTCTTCCCCGGACACACACAGGACCACAGAAGGCCTTTGCATCACATCGCTGCCTAACTTCCAGCAAAGGGCGCAGCGCGCCGAGGGATTTGGAGCCCCGTCGCTCTGCTGTTTCTGGACTGTGTGTCCTTGGGCAACTAACTTGGGCTCTCTGTGCTTCAGTTCCCTCATCTATAGCCACAGCAGTATTAGTACCAATGTTACCTCATACGGTTGCTGTGAAGATTAAATACCTTGATCGAGATAAGGTGTTTAGTCCAGTGCCTGGCACGGAGTCAACTTTCAGTAAGTGTTTCATTCATTCGTTAAAGGCGCACCATCATTATATTAGTACTGCCCTGCTCGGGAACCTGCCTCTCCTTACCTGGGGAAGAGACTGCGTCATGACCTCGTTCCCCACCATCCTGCCTTCTTTTCGGTCGTCAGCTCCTCCTTGGTCTCTGTCGGGTCTCTTGGTTCTGTTTTTCTCACTCTGCTTAGACTTGGTGCTCTCAGGGACACTAGTGACCCTCGGCTCCAGCCCGTCTTCCTTGCCTGAGTCCTCGGGGTGGGGGTGTCTGCTGTCCCGCAGTCTGGCCTCCTCTTTCCTCCTGGACCTCCCGGGAGCGTCCTGCTGCGGCTTTCCATACTTGTCCGACTTGCCCTTGGGCTCCTTCCGGTAGTAGCCGTCTTCTCGGCTTTTGTAGCCCGATGCAGAGTGGAGCAGGGTGGGGGACCCGGGCCTCGGGTGCTTTTCTCGGTGGCCCACCCTCCCTTCGAGCCGCTCCTCTAAGTCGGCTTTGTCCAGTTGCCAGGGGTAGTGTTTGCGATCGTGCGGCCACGCGTCTGCCCTGCCCCTCTTGTCCTCCCCGTTCTCCCTCCAGGGGCCCGGGTCTCGCTCCTCCTCCCTCCTGGCATAGGGCGAGTGCTCCCACGAGTCCCGGCTGTTGCCCCAGTCGGCCCGGGGGGCGCCCAGAGGGCTGTGGGAAGAGCTGCAGGAGGTGAAGCTCGGAGTGTGGGACCTCGGGGATAGTGACCGGCTCATCGGACTGCGAGACCGTGGCCTTTCCGGGCCGTATCTGCTAGGGAGCAAAGGAGTGGGTTTTAGAACCTGCACGCCCCCCCGGCCCCCATTCACAGATACACCCCAGTCCCTCGCGCGGACACACTGCACACAGAACTCTGTGTGGCCACACGCTCTTCAGCGCACAACCGTACAGACAACACAGGGCGGTACAGGAGAAAGCTCTTCCTCCCTCTGGGCTTCTAAGAGGAGGGATTTTCCGTAAGTACAGTCCTGGTCATCTCCGCCCCTTTACCCATTCTGCTCCTGGGAACTGGGATGAATAGCTGGACGGGTTTGGCTCCGTTCCATCTTTGCTCCTCTTGGAAGGACGCTAGGCTCAGGGGGCGGGCAACTCTCCTCCTGGGGCGTGGGGGCGTTGCCCTGGTCCAGCCTGGTGGGCAAAGGCTGCCTGACCCTGGGGTTCAACGACCCAGACTCTTGGCTACAAGACCAAAGCCACAACCCCACCTGGCCTCTACTGTAATAAAGGCAACCTCTTGGCCTCCACTTGTCTCGTTTGCCTCCTATCTCAGTCTGTTCAGATCCTGGGCATGGTAGAGGGAGGCTAATTACTGGGGAGGATGAGAGGAGGGCAGGCTCAGAGACCCCAAACCAAAGAAGGAACTGGGAAGGCATTTTAGGGCCGGAGGTTTGCAACCTTAGCGCTCCGACATGCTTGTGCTTCAGATGAAGAAACTGAATCCCAGAAAAGGACCTCAATCTGCTTAAGGTTCAGAGCAAGACCCCCCAGTTCTCCTGACACTCCACCACAGAGCTGCAAGCAGCATGGTATGGCTTTATATGTATCTTTTTAAAAAACTCAAGCAACCATTTAAAAAAAAAATTCCCAAATAAATGGAAATCCCAAACCCAAGCGGCTATATAAAAAGATACACAAACACATAAACACACACTCTCACTCTCTCTCTTTCTGAAGGTTGCTTGGTTATTAGGCAGATCTACTTAATCACACACACACACACACACACACACCTATTATTCTGAAAAGAATGGGCGATTTTCATTTGGTTCCCAAATACAGGAAACCCATCCAGCCCTGACTGACCAGGGGACACCCAGATGTGGCTCACTGGGACCAGGCTGCCTTGACCATCCGTGGGGACTCAGCCTGGACTCAGCCCTCCGAAATGACGTTAGAGAGCCAGCCATGGTGGCAGGGGGTAAGAACCACAGACTGTGCTCGACCTTGGCTCTCCACAGGGACTGTCTCTGTGGGGCAGCAACAGTGGGAAACTTGTAGCCCCTACTTAGTCAGAATTTCAGTCGGAAGAAATAAGTTCTAAAACTGAATGCATTCTATGTTCAGAGTAAGTGACTGATCAAGTCCCTACTTTTTGGGGGGGTTTATCTACATTCCTGTTCCCACATCTACATTCAGCCCATGAAAAATCAACAGGTGGCTCTAAATAGAACACACACACACACTCACACACACACACACACACGCACGCACGCACTTACTTTCAGGTGGTTTTAGCAGAGCGTAGACTTGCCCCAAAGGGCCAAATATCAACAGAACCCCTCCTCTATATATTCCTTTCCAACAAAGGAAAAGCTGATGAGAGGAAGCCTATCACCTTGCATTTTCCTGAGGCTTACCCTGGAGCAGCACTCTGGACTAGACTGATGCCTTCCACCAGGCACATGGAAAAGTAGGGCCCAGAAAGGCTGATGGACAGGGCAGGGACAAGGGCAGGGCACACTACCTCTACGAATGAGACATAGGAGAGTGTCCCAGCTGCCCAGAATCTGCCCTGACGTCCAGGGCTAGGGCCTCACCTGTCCACTTCCCGGAACATGTCCCTCTCCCTCTGGGAATGCATGTCCTGGATGATGGCAGCCACAGTTTTTCCAGGTTTCTAGGCAAAGTCAGAAAGGTCATCATCAGACCAGAGATGGCCATGCAAACACCAAAGAGAAACAATGAGGACTCGGGTCCATGGCCTGGTCCACCCAAAGGGAAAAAGTACCTTCTTAGAGGAAGAAAAAGTTTAATTCAGGGCATGAGGAGGGTGAGCATAATGCTGAATGGAGTGGCCCTGACATTTTGGGTACCTCTTTATCATAGAACATCTCGAACATACGCAAAAGCACAGAGAATGGTATATTGAACCTTCATGCTCCATTTCCATTGTCAACAGTTCTGACCAATCTAGTTTATCTATACCCCTACCCTCTTTCCCCACCCCACAGAATACTTTGAAGCAATCCCAGACATAGGATCTTTTCATCCATCCTATGAGGACACTGACGTAGCTCAATAACCCCACAGGGGAACCATTCACGGTGCTCATGGTCAACACATCTTGCTGCGTTTCAGACAAGGGTGAGAGTCCAAGTCCCACACTGTCCCAGGGAAGCACTGGCATACTAGAGGGATGGACCTGGACTTGAGGATCTCAACCCAGGAAGAACAGCCCAGCTCTGCCTCTAGCTGGCTGGGTGATCTGGGGTCAAGGCTTGCTGTCTGTGGGAAACTCACTTTCTCCACCTGTAAAGGTGAGATAATGAGGCTTATCTGGCATCCACCAGTAGCCTCGGGGCATGGCGGGCTATGCTGATAAAAGCCACAGGCCCTGGGCCTACATAAAAGGAGTTGCTGGAGGGTTTCCTCTGACCCCTCTGTGGCTGTTTTCCATGCCTCAAAAGTCCCGGGAAGATGCTGAAACCTTCAGTATGAGCCCTGAACCTGTAACAGCCAGGCCCTGTCAGAGCAGCCCCGATCCTTCTCGACATTACTGTGCTTTCCAGGGTCTCCGTCACTTCTCACCTGACTCCTTCCACCCGGATACCCTCTGTGTTTAGCTGATTCACCGCAGCCTTCAAGCCCTACTTGGTAATGGTTCCCTTCTTTACACAAGCAAGTCACACTGCCTTTTGCCCCTGGACTTCTAGGAGCTCCGTACTGATGCACTCATGTTCAAGTCTTACATAATTTCCACAGGAATAGCCTGTCTCTTCAGTTACACAGCAAACTCTCCCCAAGTGAGGACCAAGCCTCCTATTCCCTGTAGCTCTCAGCACCACGTCTTATCTGCAGAAGAACCCCAGTCACCATTTGCTGATTGAATCTTCCTGAGAGCACCATGGAATATACCCAAGAATGCTTCCTAGGGCCAGAGACCCTCTCTGTGGCTGGGAGGCTGGCAAGACCAGTGACTCTGAAACCAGGCCCTCTGCCCCCAAACTGCCTGGGACCCTCAACCCCACCCCAAATCCACTGAAGGAAAATCTCTGGTCAAGAGAACCTGAAAACTCCCCTGACGATTCTCTGATGCAATAACTGGGAGACACTGGTTTAAACTAGTCCAAGCTCCCTTCCGCATGTAAGACGCTATGGCTCTGGAGAAGTCTCTCTAGAACAACCCAGAACATAGCTCATTCTTCTCGTCCAGGTCTGCTGCAAGAAAAAACTTAACTTTTTATTGATCCTTCAGATTTGCTCTTTCTCATTTATTCCATGTATTTGTGGGACACCTGTTATGTGAAAGGTTCTACCCCAAGTGCCCCGAGGAATAGAGCCTCTGCCACAAAGAGGGTATAGGGAGACATGACTGCCAGCATGAGGCAATATTCAGGATAGGAGAGGAGAGGTACCTTAAATCTCTCCTTCCTCTCCCTCCACTTTGCCTGGTGAGCCAAACGTGAAGTTAGAGGAAGACCCATCAAAATTTCCCCCTACCTCTGCAAGCTCTGGTGGGACCCCAGGTGGTGGCCCCTTTGGCCCAGAGACACAGACGGCTGTGGTGTTTTGCCGTCTACTTCCCCAGTAGCACTGCCCCTCCTCCACCCCTGCCCTGAGGTAACACAGGCCTGGCCAACCACAGTATGGCCTTCTCTGGCCACGGAGATTGGTTCAGGGAAGGACAGGTGTCCCAAACGAGCCCGATCACAGTTCCGCTCAGGACATCTGAGGAAGCTTCTCGGAAACACTCCAGCTCTCTTGTTGAAGGGACCGGGAGACTGAGAAGCCCGACCTGCTGCAGTCAATGAAGCCATCACGCCACCTAGAGGAGGGAGGTGGGGCTGCCTGGGGCCATCCCAGGGAGACCCCCCCAAAACAAAATGAGCAGAAGGCAGAGTGGAGAGGAGCCAAGCCCTAATGATACCACTGAGGCCCCAAAGCCAGCTGCATCCGCAGCCAGGGCTACTCCTGGACTTTTCATTTACACGAGCCAATAAATTCAGTAATTTTTTTTTTTTTTTTTTACTTTAGTCCATAAGCTTAAATGAGATCATTTTCTATCACTTGCAGAGAAAGTCCTAGCTGATTCATGTCAACATAGGGACCATGATGCATGCATTCCCATGCAGTTGAAGTGGGTTTTGAGATGCTTTCACAGGAGAAGAGGCATTGTGACAGCCTGGGAGCAGAAAATCCTTTGTAAAGGGCAGAAAACAATGTGTTCTAGACCCTTGCTGCTTACACTGTGCTGTGAGAACCGGCAACACCGCCTGGGAGCGTGGTGGAAAGGCAGAATCACAGCCCTGCCCCAGTTCTACCGAACCAGAAATTTTAACAGGACCTGCAAGTGATTTGTACGCACATTAAAGTTCGAGAAGCTCTGTTAGAATACTATCTGCTGCTTACGGGCTGGGTGACTATAAGCAGATTACCTGATTTCTCATGTGGACAGTGGCAATCCTACCAACACAATATAGAGATGCAGACATATGCAAAGCCAAAACAGTCCTAGGTTTTGATCATGGCTCTTCCAGTACCAATGATCTTGCCCAAGTCACTGAACTTCTTTGGGCCTCCGTTTCCTTATCTGTAAAACTGAGATAACGAATACCCGTCTGACAGGACTGACCTCAGGATTAGAGTAGATAATGTACGTGAAGTGTCTGGGGCATGACCTGACCCAGAGTACCAGGACTCAATTAAAAGTACCTATTCTTGGGCACCTGGGTGGCTCAGTTGGTTAAGCGACTGCCTTCGGCTCAGGTCATGATCCTGGAATCCTGGGATCGAGTCCCACCTCAGGCTCCCTGCTCAGCAGGGAGTCTGCTTCTCCCTCTGACCCTCCCCCCTCTCATGTGCTCTCTCTCTCTCTTGCTCTCTCAAATAAATAAATAAATAAAATCTTTTTAAAAAAAGTACCTATTCTTGTTATTATTGTTGTACTGTTATTGTTATTATCCACCCTACACACCTCACAGGGGAAGGTGAGGGCAGGGCTCAAAGAGATAATACATGAGGGAAAAAAGTGCTTAAAACCAAAAAGCTCAAAGTAGAGTCCTTTCCTGATCTGGTAAACTGAGGTTCACACAGTTGAAGCACCTTGTCCAAGCTCATCAAAGCAGGACGAGGTAAAACCAAGGTAGCACCAGCACCCTCCCATCTGGACTAGGTCACATGGTTTGCCGGTGGTTCCGTTTTCCCGTTCTTCCTCACACCGGACTGTGAGCTCCTCGGCCAGCTTGCTATGTCTTTACCCACGGTGCCCGACCCAGTTCCTGCCCGCAGTGGGCACTCAGCAAACACGTGCTGAATACAGACCGTGACCATCTGACTCTTTAACCCATGGTGTTTGTACCACCCCAAACAATTTCCCACAGGAAGGTACTACGGTGCCTTAGTACCTTAAAAAGCTGAGTACTCCTGCTAATCCTAATTCCAATCTTACAACAACATCTCATTTAGAGACCGAAGATCCACTGGGAATTTAGTGCAGAAATTCAATTCTAGCCTCCAGGGGAGAATCCAGGAGAATAGAAACTTTGGCTGCATACAGAATGAGATGGGATCTTTCATTTGTCTGAGAAAAGCAACATGCTTTCATTCCCCAGGGGAAAATAAAAATGCCAGGTTCTGCTAGAATTGTTGGCAAAAGAACTTCAGAAGCAATATTGCAAGGAAAGCAGAATCAAGGCTTTGGCAACATTACCATCTACACATGTAGACTTGTCAGAATGCTACTCCTAGCTAGCAACAACCGCTGAGCCTTTGTCTCCTGCCTTCAATCTTGAAGGCAAATTCAAGGTTGTGGGTCTTGAACAAAATGGACCCTCAGTAAATGTGGGATAAGCTGAAGCAAACTGGTAGGGCCCTATTACGATGGGACAGTAGACAGCACAAAATAAGAAGTAGATTTGAATACAAATATAGCAATTTAATTACAATAAATCCAAATGGACTAAGGGCTCCAGTTAATTGAACTTCTTGCAAACCATGAAGAAGACACAATCTAAAGAAAAGCATGGGCAAATGACCTTAAAAGAAACGTTCCACTACAAAAGATCCAAATGGAATGGCCAATGAACATAGGAAAAAGGGATCACCTCAATTAATAATCAGGAAAATAAAAAAATAAAACCATGATGGGGTGCCTGGGTGGCTCAGTTGGTTAAGTGTCCGGCTCTTGGTTTCTGCTCAGGTCATGATCTCAGGGTCTTGAGATGGAGCCTCGTGTCAGGCTCTCTGCTCAGCGGGGAATCCGCTTCTCTCCTCCTTCTCCTCCTCCCCCCACTCATGTGTGTGCTCTTTCTAAAATAAATAAATAAATCTTAAAAAAAAAAAAGAAAAGAAAAAGAAAACCATGATAAACCAATATACTCTCCCAGATAGACAAAAATTAAAAAGTCATATAACAAAATGTTAGTAACAATGCATACCACTGCAAACTCTTACACGAGTAGGAATGTAAATCTGGGACAACTAATTTTGAAAAGGGCTTGCTAGTAAAGTTCAGGGCAAGCATGCCTTGAGATGTAGCAACTCCACTCCTAATTATGTGTGTGCCCCTAGTTATTCGCTTGTGTACGTATGTACCAGGATAGCATGTTCAAGAATGTTTATAGTAACTTGTCCCTAATACCCTAAAACTGGAAACAGCCCAAATGTCCATCAACAGCAGAACGTATAAATAAATTCATAGCCATACAACGGAAATTTATGTAACAGTGAAAATAAATAGACACACCCAGCATGGATGGCAGATGTTGAATGAAAGAACACAAAGAGTGGAATTCCATTCATGTAAAGGTCAAAATTAGGCAAAACTAAATGATAATGTTAAGGGAGGCAGAAATGGGTTGTAGAACTATAAGGAAAAGCAAAGAAAAGATCATCCTCACAGTCAGGAGAGTGGAAAGGGCGGGGTGCAGCTTGACAAGGGACTCAAAGGGACTTCTGGGTGCCGCTGGTGTTGTATTTCTTGACTTCGGTGGTGGTTTTATGGGATTTATGGGATTTCAACCATTACTACTTAAAGAAAATTTTTTTTAAGTATTTATTGATTTATTTGAGGAGTGGGGGAAGCAGAGGGGGAGGGACAAGCAGACTCCACACTGAGCACAGAGCCCAACGAGGGGCTTGAGATCATTACCTGAACCGAAATCAAGAGTCGGAGGCCTAACCGACTGAGCCACCCCGGTACCCCCATTATTACTTTTTAAACTATACAGTACATAATTAGTCATTTTTCTGAATAAAGTAAGGAAGAAAGGAAAGAAAAGAAAAAAGAGAGAAATGCAGAACAAGCTAAAACAGAAACAAAAGCCCTATTTGGAATTATCTGAATTCATCCCTGACAGTCATTCTGACAACGGCCAATTCAGTCATGTGCTGCCTAGAAGGATTTCTATGGGGCTTAAGACATAATCATAGAGGACAGAGGAGAGAATAAGAGATCAAGGTGGAGTGGTGATGAGACAGGAAGAAAAAGTTACTGAAGATCTCTATGGGTAGAGAAGGAGGTTATACGTAGAGGTTTATGCTTGGAGCTCCCACCTCTGAAATGCAATCACCTTTCCCTTCTTCCTTCATCCTTCCAAAGACTTCCCTTGTAAAATCCTCCTTGGATCCCATGTAGCTAGTCATCCTGTCTCCAGCATCCTTTTGCATTTTGTACTTACCTCAATAATCATTTTTCTTGCATGTTGTAAAGGTTGACCTTCCCATGTGATACTCCCAAAGGCAGTAGGTAATCTTTGGATGTTTTCCTGTCCTCTCCTTCCTGCCAGCACCTAGGCCAGTGCCCCACAAGGAGACACTCAGCTGATGCTGCTGAATGACTAAACAATGAGAGAATGCTTTACCTTCAGCTGTAATTCCTTGTATCTCTTGGACATCCGAATGAGCAACTTCTCACCATTGATCACAGCAGATTTTTCTTGGTAATACTGGACCATGGCCTGGGCAGCTTCTGTGTAAGCCATCTCTAAAAAGGCCTAGGGAAAAATGGAAGGACATAGGCTGAAGTTGACTTGAATGGTCTTTTGTTGTTGTTGGGGGGGAAGGGGCCGAGGGAGAGGGGGAGAGAGAGAATCTTGAGCAGGCTCCACACCCAGCACAGAGCCTGACGAGGGTCAGATCATGACCTGAGCTGAAATCAAGAGTCAGACGCTTAACCCGCTGAGCCACCCAGGCGCCCCTGACTTGAATGGTCTTAAACAAAATTCAATACTATGTGTAATTCCATGTCTATGAAGTTCAAGATAGGCAAAATGAATCAATGCTGATAGAAGTTAGAGCTGAGCTTCCCTCTAGGGTGGGGGTGGGGTTCTGACTGGGTGGGGCATGAGAAAACCTTCTGAGGTTCTCTGGAAATGTTCTCTATCCTGACCTTCATGGTAATTACATGGGTGTACACATGTAGAAAATTAATGGAGTTGTATACTTAAGACTAGTACACTTTAGAGTGTGTATTTTATACTTCAATAGAAAGAAAAAAGATCAGTACAAGAAGCTGTCTTTGATCCCATCTGTTCAAAGAGACCTATTTATTAACTTCACCCAAAGAGCTCATTATGAGATGGCCCCTCTCCTGATTCCCCTGATTACCAATAATTCGTAAATTATGTATATCCATCCTGGGCTGCATCATGCCCCAGGAGCCCTCCTGGGATGGGAGGATCCATTAACCCACAGTTCCCTGAGACTCTGTAGTGGGGAGAGCAAGTCTATTGTATAAGTGACCTTGGGCTGATCCTTGCAAAATGTGCTATTTTGTTACAATGAGGGCAGGAGACAGAGACCCAGCCATGGGTCTTTGAGCTCTCACTTTTTTTGCAAAGAAAGAAAAATACTAAACAACCCAGGGGCTCCCAAGGCTTGAAAGAAGGCATGGCTTTTTGAGTTACAGAGAGAAGAAAACCCTCAGTTATAGCTCTACAGCATTTTCCCTCTTTATTTAACTGTTCTGATAAAACACAAGAAAATGGGCTTTTGCATTCAATCAGTGTCTCCAGAGAGTGTCTAAATAGACGATTTTCACCGACCTGCTAGTTTACCCCAGTAGCTGCTGTGGCGGATTCATCCTGTTACCATTGCTTAGATTTGTTTGGTTTGTACTATATGGACAGCGCACAGTCCTTCGATGTTGAAAAGGGAAAGTGGTCTGTGACAAGGGAGCCCTCAGTGCGAGCCCCTACACTCCCAGTTCCTTGAACCGAGTGGGCTAACCAAGCTCGTCTTCCGTCCTTCCCTCAAATCTGTTTCTGAATTTCAGAGATGCTTTTCCCTGCTGTCACAGTCTATGGCAGATATGTGAGAGATGAAGAAGTCAAGATTCTTTAGGGTTTTATTTCAGATCCTGCCACCCAGCTTTCCAAGTGCCTCTTGCTTGATGCAAACATTTTAGCACCTCCAGCTCTCAACTGTCAAATGGGAATAATACTAATTCAGGGAATCTCACTGCATTAATGTTACAAGCTGAATTTTGTACACTTACCCAAAATAGAATTCTGAGCAGTCAGAACAAAGGGACTAAGGGAATAGTCTAAGCCCACGTTGTTGGAGGAAGACCACCGATGATCTGATGTGGCTCAGAGTCTCTCAAGTTCATGCATTAAGAAAAGAACTTCCCGGGGCGCCTGAGTGGCTCAGATGGTTAAGCATCTGCCTTCAGCTCAGGTCATGATCTCAGTGTCCTGAGATCCCACATCCCGCTCTCTGCTCAGCGGGGCATCTGCCTCTCCCTCTGTGCTCACATGTGCTCTCTCTCTCAAATAAATAAGTCAATAAAATGTTTAAAAAAAAAAGAAAAGAACTTCCCGGGGAGCCTGGATGGCTCAGCCAGTTGTGCCCTACTCTTGGTTTTGGCTCAGGTCATGATCTCAAGGTGGTGGGACTGAGCCCTGCATCAGGCTTTGTGCGCAGTGTGAAGTCCACTTGAGATTCTTTCCCTCTCCCTCCCTCTGTGCCCCTCCCCTTGCTCACACACTTTCTAAATAAATAAATAAATAAGTAAATAAATAAAATCTTAAAAAAGAAAAGAATATCTATGTCTGCTCCTTTGGTTCACAAAGTAAAAATATTTATTAACAGTAAAAGATAAAATATTCTTATTCCTGACCATTTCTCTGTATAGACTCCTCCTTTGACTTTAGAAGCAAAGACAGCCATATATATTAACCCTCAAGTTCTCACTCAACCCACACGGGTTAAGGGTTCTTTGTCCTTTAGACTTACCAGGCACCCATCAATTCCCACCCACTCTCCTGCTACAAGACCCAAGGGCCTCAGATGCTAACACCAAAGATCTGTGAAACCATCTGTTCAGTCAGTTGTTGGCTCGCTCCAAATCCAAGCTCTCAGATACGAGATGCTTAGACGGTAAAACAGTCGCATTAGCTCAGGGGGTTCGTAACACAGTGAAAAGACTCAAGTCCATGGGCTTCTATCTTGGGGGCCAGTTAGTTTATCTATGTTAATGAGTCCCTCATTCCAAAGTATCTCCTTCCCTCCAGGCAACTCACAGAGGCCTGTACCCATTACAAGGAGGGTAAGCTGAGACAGGGTAAACAAAACACCACCACCAAACAAAAACCTCTGTGCTGTACCAACAAGAGGCCCAGCTGTGTATTACCTCTTTATTTTAAGAAAACTTTTTTTTTAAGATTTTATTTATTTATTTGAGAGCGAGAGAGAGCAGAGCAGGAGGGAGGGGCAGAGAGAGAAGCAGGCTCCCCACTGAGCAGGGAGCCCAATATGGGGCTTGACTCTGGGACCCTGGGATCATGACCTGAGCTGAAGGCAGCCATTTAACCAACTGAGCCACGTAGGAGCCCCAAGGATACCTTCTTTAAAAAAAAAAAGATTCCATTTATTTATTTGTCAGAGGGAGAGAGCGCACAAGCAGGGGGAGCGGCGGGCAGAGGGAGAAGCAGACTCCCCGCTGAGCAAGGAGCCCACTGTGGGACTCGATCCCAGGGTCCTGAGATCATGACCTGAGCCGAGGGCAGACGCTTAACTGACTGAGCCACCCAGGCACCCCCCAAGAATAGCTTCTTTAAAAAAAATTATATAGTTCCCTCCACCAATGTGTGGTCTATCTGGTATGTGTGGAAGTGCCCAGACCTACCTGATTAGTGGACTTCATGAGGATGTAATTAGTGACCTTTCCAAAGGGCAGCCCCAGGTTAATGACGTCATTCTCCGTGCAGCTTCCTTCAGGGAGATTGCAGATGTGCACCACGCGGCCAGCCCCCGTTTTCCGCTGTGCAAACTAATGGGAACAGAGGGCTGTGGCTAGTCTTCAAAATACACTTCCCTCTGGCCTTCTGTCCCCAGATGTTCCTAATGACCATCTTCACCCCAATAATGATTGCAAAAGGATAACTTATGAAATTAGTGCAGGAAAAGAATCCATTCCCAGACATGTATATCAATTTTATGCCACCCCATTACAGAAAAGATTTGCAACATTTTACTGAGCAATCACATCCAGACTGTCAGAGATGTGGTGGAAGGCTGTACAACTATGATCTCTTGACATTAAGCGCAATATTTAATAAAACTTAAAGTACAGATAGCCCATGATCTTGCCATCCCACTTCTGGAAATCTATCCTACAGAAATAAATGAACCAATATATAGACACCTATGTTCAAGGACACTGCAGTTATTTATAAGGTGGCAAAAAATTCTGGAAACAGGCTGTGTGTCCAAGAATAGGGGAATGTTTGAGTAAATGATGGTTCAAGCATACAATGTAAGACGACAGACCCATTAAAAGGCAGAGGTAAATGAACCGATAAGGAATAATTTTAAGATAGTTAAGCAAAAAAAAAAAAAAAAAAAAAAAAAAACAAGTTGCCAGAAAACATGTGTAGGACAATGCCTTTTTTGTTAAACAAAACAAAAAATCAGCACATGAGAAAGAGACACATCAAGCAAGTGTTGTAAAGTTTTGATCATTGTTGGAACTCGGGGTTAGATCATACTAGTCTGTACTGTTCTGTACGTTTGAAATTTTTCATAATGAAAAATTTTTCAAGATATTAGCACAGACAGAGAAAGGCAGGCAGGGGAGGATACCTATCAACTTGTCAACACTAGTTATCTTCAAAGAGCAGAACTGGAAAGAAGTAGGAGGAAAGAGGTTTTTTTTTGTTTAAAGATTTTATTTATTTATTCATGAGAGACAGAGAGAGAGAGAGAAGCAGAGGGAGAAGCAGGCTCCCCGCTGAGCAGGGAGCCCGATGCGGGACTCGATCCCAGGACCCTGGGATCATGACCTGAGCCGAAGGCAGACGCTTAACCATCTGAGCCACCCAGGCGCCCAGGAAAGAGGTTTTTAACATTTTTCTCATATACCTCATATTGTGTGACTACAGAAAAAAAAAGCACAGCAAGGATTTGTGGGAACCTTACATATAGACATCCACAACAACCTGTGGTTTAGGGCAGTGGCTTTCACAACTGTGTTAGCCTTGAATCCTCTCCTCAAATACAAGCTTGCCCACCAGCCCAACATATTCCACAAATAAGAGGAGACAAACCCCGGGGTCTGGACAAACCTCGGGGTCCAGCCCCCTGCCGCCGCCACCAGCCAGCAGCTCCAAAGGACCTCTGAGGAGCACAGTTGGGAAGCCAAGACTCGGGCCTAATCAAAGCTCTGGGAGGAAGTGCATCTCTTTTGTCTGTGCAAACCTTAATCAGCCTGGAGTCTCTGGGAGGTTCAAGAATTAGTACCCAGAAGCCAATCCAGTGTGGAAGAGAAGGATGCAATTTTCCAAACCTGAAACATGGTCTAATAGCATAGCCCACATCTGCATAATCACCATATTCTATGATACAGTGAACTTCAACATCTAATTATATTTGATGTGGGTCTCGTCCCTCGCGAGGGCTAATATTTGGGTAATTCTATCACAAAAGCCCTCATTTGTCTCATCTGGGCTGAGGACAATTAAGAGTCAGTAAGAATTTCCTTTTATGGCTCAGCCCTGAATTGGAGAAACCCAAATGCCCCTTGCAGACCTCCCCCGCACGATGTCCAGAGGTCAAGCACTTTCCCAAAAAGGAACGGGATTGAGCGTTAAGGCCCAGGCAGCTCCCAGCGCATCCCTGCACCTCCAAGGAGTGCAAACAGAGCTCTTCGTAAGCTCTGAGACTTTGCGTCTGAGTCTGGCTAACAAGAACTGAACTCTTCTCCAGGATGACTGTCTCTGTCTCTCCTTTAGGGTGAGCGGGCCACATAAAGACCACAGACCCTGCTGAGCTCTGAGGCAGGGCAAAGTGGCTGGTCCTCAGAGTTTATCAACAGGCAGGCCGAGCTGGGTGCTCTGCCTGGCCTCCTCCAAGCAAGCCCACTTCTGCCCCATGTGACACTGCTGTGGTCGGCCTGGGCTAACTCGTGCTTGGACGACAGGGCAGACACACAAAACCACGGGGCCATTTTGGGCTGCTCCCTGCTCCTTGCCTGTCTGGTTGCCTAGTGACCGGCATGAAGGCCAGCACCTCTGTCACTGTCTCCTCCAGGCTGGAAAAAGCTGCCCACAAAGCTTGTACCCGAGCTGCTGGGCGGTGGAACAGGCCTCCTGAAGAGTAAGCACCCCCTCAGCTGCCAGTCACCAAAGCGCAAGAGGAATTCATGCTGTGGACACTGTTCGGTCCTAAAATGAATGGGTCTCAGTTAAGGTTTACTCTCAAGTTTTAAAAATATATTTCATGAGCACTTTCTTCCCCTAAGATTTTTAATCAGAAATAAAAGTTGGATTTTATCGATTCCCTTGTTGTCACTTAATATCACGTCATCATGAGACTTTTAGTAGCCTCCCAGTTACTTATACTAATTTGGAGCTTCTCAACTGGTAATGGGGCCCATGGGTCTGCACTTGACTGACTCAGGGTAGAGGCCAAGGACCTCCAGTGAACCACCAGCAGCTTCTTCACTTCAACCGGTTTACTTCCATTTCTCATTTTCTGAAGTGACCCATGAAATGAAAATCTTGAGGACTGAAAAATCTTGAGAATCGCCATATTAATGGTTTGTTTGTGTTGTGTCTGGCTTCAGGGCAAGTGAGAAACCCTATCTGGTTAGGAAAAAACAAAACAAAACATTTTTTGTGTTATATTCTTTCGCAAATATTTGATTTAGGATAGTTTGGTCTATATTCTTTTCTCTCATAAATCTAAAATACCTTCTCATTAAACTCAATTAGGTTCAAAATCATATTTGATTCATAACAGGTGTCCAGTTATATGCATAATCATTCTAATCTATTCTTGAGACCGTTTATATAAATGCAGCTATTATTTGCTTTATGCCCTATGGCGGATCCACACAATGAGGCAGAAAAAGGGAGGGAGGAGAGCCGAACAGGGAGAGGAAGGGAGAAGGAGGTCTTCAGGTGAACAGCTAGAGTAAAATTTGTCCCCAGGGGGCACAGAGGACCCTGAGTGCCTTTGAGCATGCCGTAAGATGCTATACACTAATTCCCAGCCTGGGTTTTCTAATGAGTCCTTAAGGGTCTTTGAAGGTAATAGTATTTCAAAGGAGGGTCATGATTTTTGACATTTAAAAAACCTGAGTTGAGTCTTTATTCTAGCAATATGGTAACCCTGGTTAGATCTTAGGCTGATGCGAAATTCTGAATGGTTATGTCTGTGGTTTTGATTAATAAAAACGGGTAACTAGTTAATTACTCACTAATATAAGTACTTTCTTTGGCAGATACAGTACTTTTCCAAACATGGCATGCAGGGCAGTGGCTGCTTGAGGACGGGAGGAGTAGATGATGAAGGGGTTGGGCTGTAAGAAGCGTGGGGTTTCCAGATGTAGTGGGAGACAGGGGACTTGGATCCGAGTGCCAGCCTGGCCACTGGCTGGGTGCATGGCAGGGAAAAACTCATTTTCCTCTCTGAGCCTCAGTTTCCCAATGTCTGGAATGAGGGAGGTAACCTATACATAGAGAATCCTTTCCCGATGTGAAATATCTGTGTTTGTGTGCTTCCAAATTCTATAACTCCACTCCTCCCAGAAGACTTACCCAGCTAAACCCTAGGATCTAGGACAATGATAACCTTCCCCAACTGTGTTGGGCATAAGCAGGAAACCTGTGTCTTTCCCACCAGCTGTCCCAGTGAATGTAATGTTTTGCCCTCCCTCTCTATGGGATCAGCTGGTTTCAGCATATGCATTTGTTCACAAGCATGTTCATCCTGCAGACGTGCCTATGTTGGGGGTGGTCTTATCTTTACGGGACTGAAGATAAGTTCCAAGCAGTGAGCACCTTGCTGAAGAGCCCTGCCACTCCCTGAATGACTCTGTGTCTGTAGCGCCTAGAAGAGGTGAGATGATATATTGGGATGTACTAAAGAGGCAGGTCTGGTGCCTCCCTGAGGACAGACACACACCAAGTCTGGGCCGTAAGTTCTCCAGGGACCAGGGCCAGGGCAGTGAGAGCATCAGACAGACCTGGATCTGCGTCTACTCCCCAGTGACTAACCCTGGGGAAGTTTCTTAATTTCTCCAAGCCTGAGTTTGCTTATCTATAAAACAGGGAAAACAAAAATTGATTCCACAGGACTCTTTAGAAGACAAAAATGCTATAAAGTATGTAAATTGCCTTGGTGCAATGCCTGGCATCCAGCAGGCTCCTTAAAATATATATGTCGCTTTCATTCCCCCAACAGTTAAAGGATATGCTATGATGGTCCCCGACTGAGAAAAAAAATGCAACTGTACTGTGATTATGTAAGAGAAAGTCCGTGTTCTTTTTTTTTTTTTACGATTTTATTTTTTTATCTGACAGAGAGAGACACAACGAGAGAGGGAACACAAACAGGAGGAGAGGGAGAGGGAGAAGCAGGCTTTCCGCTGAGCTGGGAACCCAATGTGGGGCTCGATCCCAGGACCCTGGGACCATGACCTGAGCTGAAGGCGGACGCTTAATGGCTGAGCCACGCAGGCAAACCGAGAAAGTCTGTGTTCTTAAGAAATTCATGCTGACGTAGTTAGGGGTGAAGAGGTACAATGTCTCCAGTGGTTCAGAAAAAAAACATGCATAAATGATTAGACGGATGGATGGATGAATAGACAGATAGATTAAGATGGGTGAACAGAAGGACAAGAGACAGAGAGAGACAGAGAATGATAAACAGACCAAAATGTAAAGGAGTAGTGAATCTGGGCAAAAGATATACCTTTATGGCAACTTTTGTGTAAATCTGAAATATATTAAAAGTTACAAAAACTACACTTTAAAAGATGTGTATTAA